TGGGATAAAAAGTATTCTATTATCTAAGTCAGCTAATACCCTATCTGTATACCAAATTTCATCAAAATCCGTTCAGTAGTTTCAGCGTGATTGACGGACAAACATCCAAACAAAGAAACTTTCACATTTATAATATTAATATGATAATAATAAAAATACGTTTTGTTATATTTTAGTTTTTCTTTGGGTTCTACTTTCTCGAATATTTGCAGTAACAAAAATGAGTATTATTAGTACACTAGCTGTTTTCGCGCCATTTCGCCAGAGTAAATTATAGCCTGTTACCCACGTATAATGTAGGTACGCATATCGAATATACCTAAGTGCACCTAAGCGAAAGCATTTTTAAAATCGATCTAATAGTTTCCGAACCTAGTCCAATGCACAAAAATAAATAAACAATCAAATCATTCCTCTTTATAAGATTAGTACATTTTACATGACGGATGCTGTATTCGTGTCTTATAGAAAAATACTTAAAATATTAACGATTCTTCATAGGAAGGCCGTAGTCTTCCTATTTAGAATCTATGAAGGACAAACCAAGTTGCTTGGTCAGCCATAGGTTGTGGGCTCGAATGTCGTCTACGAAGACGGTTGACTAATTATAAATTTACAACCTAACCTAATGAATATAAAAATGTTAGGCACTGTCCCTGTAACCTAGAAATAATAGTACCAAATACCTAAAAGGACGATTTTATACTTATTCATAATAATTTTAATTCATTTAAAATAGTGTGAGTTTTCTCTTTATACCAGCATATTTTGTTATTAAAAATGTAATCAAAAATACATTTACCTGTTCGGTTCCTCCATGTGGATGACATACCGCATAAAAACATTGCCAGGTGGTGGGTTCATTGCTCGCAGGCAGCTTTTATTTTCTTTTGATGTAAAGTTCCAGGCATCGCTTGCCGTCCCGCGTCTATACTGCAAAAAAAAAACAATCCTAACCATCTGGCTTCAATCTATCTCTTTTGTGGTGTTACAAGTAAATGAAACCTTTTTTCGTTATCTTCCATGAGAAAACAACACTTAGTTTGAATAGACAATGTTCTAAGAATGGTTCTACTCAATGGCCTAACGTGCAACATCGGAGAAAAGATGCTATTGTCAAATTCATAAAGTTACTTTCTATTATATTATTCTTAGGGTATTGTAACTTTGAAGAATAAAAATTGCCATCGCTCTTACCTTTTGAGTTGAACATTTATTTTAACAACACGAAAGAAAATATCTGTAAATAAATATAATTATAGAAATAATACATATTTAATAGTTAAATTACGTCGAAAATATCCCATTGTAAATATACTGTTATGATGTTCCAAAGGGCTTTTAACTGTTCATTAGAATATTTTCAGATACAAATCTTATCACATTATACTTTTATGCTATTGCCCTAACCCAACGTATCCTATAGTGTGTAACTTATAGCTGCCATTATTATTATTTTTTAATTTAAACATCCCATATCACATTTGTTGAATATAGGTTGAACACGGGTTGGACGCACGTGCTAACGACAGCTGCGCAGCGATGAGCCACTAAATAAGACTTGTTCTTACTGCTAATATAACAATCTATTGTTTTATATCAGTGAATAATCTCTAAAACATTAAAATTATAATTTTATGTCATCAAGTGGTTTTAATGTAAATTTGATTATATGATTCTAGTTGGTCGAAATAATAGTTATTTAAGATACGAGTGAGAAAAGTAAGGTTTTACGAATAACGGCCAAATTGAAAACACGAACGTAGCGAGGGTTTTCAGTGGCACGAATTCGAAAAACCTTTTACGTTCAAGTTTCTTACAACATTTTTCAATGCTTTTTGCGAGGAAATACAATGATATTAATATGTCTAGATACGCAATACATACCCAAAATGTGAAGCTACTAAAACTAAGACGTTTGTCTTAGTTTTTTCGTTTTTCATTTCAATACTCATTCAACTCCCGCCGAGAAAGTACAAAAAAATGCTCCGCAAAAACGAAGAAAAACAGTGGATAAAATACGATTCTCTTTCACAAATACACGAAATTTGAATTTCATAATACGAAAGAATATTAAGTTTCACACTTAAGTCATTAACATTTTTGGTAATAAAAACAAAATTAAAGCTAGTCTAAAAATAAAAATATTTAATTTTCACAAATAAAATTTTGACATTTTATCGTCATTGTTGCCATTGCTATTCACTTTCAATTTTCCCCACTATATGGGAGCCTTTTCACTTAATTGTAAAAAATAAATAAATATAAATATCTTCTTTTGATTAATTATATTTAGTATAGGCAATTGTGCAAATTGTGTTGATATTTATTTCATTCACAGTGCTAAATGTTTAATTTTAAATGTTTTATTTTTTAAAGAGGTTTAATTTTTAAAGTTCATTTAATTTTTTCAAGGCGTGGAATTCGTTAGTTGTTGAGATACAACTTTTGAAAATACGTAGAATTGAACCTTTGATCTTTTGTTAACTTTAATAAATGTTTTTCTCTTAAACACTGACTTTATCGAAAAACCAAGGGATTTATATGCACAGAGCCTACTTTCGTGATTGTTTTCTTTTCAAAGTTTTTTCAAATAAATTTTCAAAGGAACAGTATTTTTCTGATTGATTTTATACATATATCTACATTACTTGTTATCGTCATGGGTGAATTTTCGAGAGCTGGCAATACAATATCAATTACCCATTTTTCCGTTCATTCTGTCGTTCGCACATATTCTGTCTTTGTTTAATTTAAGGTTTAATCGTAGATATGGAAGAGATAAATATAATAAATCTATTTATATTATATAGTATAAATATTATTTGCAAAGCTACGTCCTGATTTCGGAAAAGTGCTACGCTTTTGGGCGCGTCTTTTGTATGGAATTGCTTCTCTAGTTATTAAACTCATTGGAGGAAATAAAACAAAAATTTATAGGTAAATAAAACTAAGTATGTATTAAAGGTAAAAATTATTTGTTAAAATTAAACGTGATATTTGAACATGTTTTCGTGTCATACATTTTTATTTGAAAATATTCGTTCTAGGCTCTTTGAAATACTTTTGCCTCTAAAGTTTGACATATTTTCATCAATTTTTTTTAAATTCCTTTGGTGCTAGGCCAAAAAAAAAACTTTTAAGCACGTGTGCAGTAAAGGATTTCAGTACAACACTGAATTTTAACACGTGTTTAAAGACTCACTTTCGGTGTTTACAATGGATAAAAAAAAATAGCGCTTTATGAGCAACTGCATTGAAAATATATTTATTATATACTTTTAATGTTGTTAGAGATATTCACTGAGTATTATAGTACCTCTCTCAATTCTGAATAGAATAGATATTTATTGAACAACAAACATCACGACATATGATATAAAATTAAAACAAAATTACAAAATATCAGTAAGATACCAACTTACCAACACAACAAAAATAAAAAAAAGGGCGAATCAGAGCAGCTGTTGCAGTTTTTCTTGGTAAATATTACATTCAAGATGCCTAGAACTGATGGCATGGTTTTTCTTTCAGAGCTTAGATTGAATAAATGAATTTGAATTTTGAAAGTTTCTATATCACCTGTGTCTGTCTGAATGTGAAAATTTCTAAGTAAAGGAGGAATAACTACAAGACAACATGATTAGTTTCATTTTTTTCTGTAAAACTTCTGATTCACGATGTCTTGTGATTTAAAAACAAAAAAAAATGCAGGCTGGGTTTACTAAATATCAATTGCGCTTACATATGTTATTATCAGTCGTTATGTTTTAACAAAAAATAATAGAATATTCATAAATTCAATGGCTGCTCTACGCCATGGTCACAGAATAAAAATGTAAAGGCAGAAAACATTGTTGTGATTTTTTTCATGAATGAAACGTTATTAGTTTAATGGATGCTCCACTGTATAATTAAGTTACTGTACTGGATGCATGACGTCGGTAATTCTCGTTTGTCGATGCGCGCGCGCATCCTCCCAGATCGCTGCTTCTGTGCATAACGGCCGTTCATTCAAGTGGCACGCCCCGGCCCCGGCCGACTACCCGGCGACGAACCAACCCAGATCTTATTTTTAAATCCAACCCACAATGGTTCGTTGTATTGCTTTCTTTTTAACATCACATTTATCTTTTACGGTCTGGTGATTTTTAAGCATATTCTTCAGACGATTTTTCATCTCTGTGTAAAAACGATAGAAATTTAAATTAATGACAGTAATTTACATGGACGTAACAATGTTATCTGCACATTTTTTTCCCTTAATTACATACGTTGTTCCTATAGAATAAGTACGTTGTTTTTCTTTTTAAGTAAAAAAAAAAATGGGTCTTAATTATTCTTGTAACTCGTGACTAACAGTCTTTCTGTCATATCGTAAATATTGTTAGTATTACTCATACTGTTTGTGAATACTTCCAAGTATATTCAGTACCTTATATGAACCATGGGTTCTTACTAAAATTGGCATTTTTTGCATGTGTAGTTATCAGTGCATTGGTGCAGCGTATTCCGATAATCCCGTTGCATCTTGAATTCTTGACGCTATTGATTTTGTTCGTTTCCCGCGCTCGTGACAGAATCCCCTCACTCCCCTTACCCACCTCCCTCCCTTCCCGCCTCAAGTCGCCCCCGAATGTAACAAAATAGAGCCACATGGACGCAGCCACGTTGTGACTGATGACAACAAACGTTGAAACTTTCTAAGTTGGTTTATTTATAAAATTAGTAATTATATTCAACATTGTATAGTTATTTCTTATAAAAAAATTGAATTTAATATAATATAATTATCATAAATAGGTATAGATTTATAGCTGGGGTGAGGGTGTTTCGCGATGCACCCGCGAGCTGCGATCGCGACATGACACGGAGACGGAAGGTAGGTAGGTAGGTAGGGGTCGAGTGAGGCGCCACATCTACATCAACACAGCACTACTACGCCCGCCGCCTGCCCTCCCCGCGTGTCGCCCCCGTACGTTCCGTGCGATTATTCCGTCTAGCGAGCGAGAGCGGGGTCGTAGCGTAGTCAATGCTTCGTTTGCATTGAGCGCGTTCGTCCATTTCGTTCACTCAGTCAGTCCGCAACGCGCTGTCTAACAGAACGCACGCGCGCTCGTGTTTTATACTCAAATCGGAGTTGTTATATTTATAATTCCAGTTGCATTTTGCATTCCTTAGTCAAATTTATTTATTGAATAGAACAGTGACTTCATTGATATTTTCTAAAATTCCTTCATGAACTGTGATCGTGTTTTTTATCGTTTCAAACAATAATAAAACGGCAAGATAAACCTGCACCACGACAGGTCGACATGAGTGGATTGACAATCAGAGTTAAAAGAGGATCGAGGGGTAGTGCTACTCTTCTTGAAGCAGCTAACAGAATTCTCAGGCTACTAGGCGTTAGCTCATCAAAGCGCGGGAAACAGCCCTCACCCAAATCGAAGGTAAGGTCAACGACTCCACGCGTATGTTACTATCATGAACCAGCTTGTTTGTTTGGGTCTACAATACAAAATCTTCCCTTCTAAATTATTTTATTAGATATTTGAATTTCGTATTAATATTTTTAAAGAGAAACTTTTATTAGGTACGCGTTGTATAAAGCTTTAAACTAATATTTACAAGAAAGTGAAAGGCTGAGAACGCGAAATATGCGTGTCAAAGTGAATGAATACTGAAATTATCTTCCTTTCATTTATCATTATTGAGTTATTTTAGTCTCTTATTTTTGAATTTTTCGAATACATTATTTTGTAATTATTTTAAAAATTGATAAAAATAGCTACTTCATTTATAATACCAATGGTAATAGTTCATCGTACATATTGTACTTATGATGTTATTGATAAACTTTCGTTTCATAACGTAGAGAATGCACTTTCGATAAAGATAAGTACGAACCGCGGGCCGCGGCTACGCATATACAATGCACCGCTCAGGGCCGGGGTTGTTTATGATGTGATGCAAAAACTGAACAGCAGGCGCGGCGCGCACTTGTTTGTTCACGCGCCGTTGGCGTGACCACCTTTGTACCACTACGGACGCCTCACTATCCGCATTCATCGACTTGACCATAATGACGCCAGCAGACTGATGTATCCTCTGATTGTAATAATGCATCCATGCCACAATCTATCATAGTAACGCCCCCAAATAACTAAAATACTGGGTTACATAAATTAACTGCTCCAAAATTCAAATCTTAGGTATGAGGGTATGATATCATATAAAAAAAAATCCTGCGGCCTGATCCTTTCTTGGACTACTTATTTTCCGCGACTTCGTATATTAAAGTCACCTGAATATACTGTACAGGTAAAAGAATTTTTTAAATCGGCCCAGTACTTTCCGAGCCTTTCAAACAAACAAATCATCATATTTTTCTTTTTCAGAATATTAATATAAATATATATTATACCAAAATTAATTTAATACAATTATCACTTTTAATACGAAACCATTATGTATGATAATTAAATATCAATACTATTTTGTTAATGATTACCTCTTTCGAAAAAAAAAAAATACATATTATGTAAATTATGACAGTTTGTGTAATTTTTGTTGACAAGCGATTAAATATGTAATGCATTTTGTTCATAGGTTATTTCAATATGTTTCTTATAGTGTTTAGATAATTATTATTATGGTTTCAATCATTATTAAATCTTCATTTAGAAAAACTGTTTTGGTGGAATACCTAACATAATTAAAGAGCATTTATGAGTTCTAACCCTATGTGCGTTTACTGGCAATGAATAATTGTACATAATTATAATTGAATGTTATAAAATCCATGCAACATACAAGTTCGTAAGTAATGATTGTTATGAATGGTATGCACGCCCGCCACCGCCTAACCATTCTACAAGCTGCAGCCGGATGCATGGCGGAGTAAATGGTCTTGCAATATGGCTCCACATCCGTCTAACTTATTTGGTACAAGGTCTTTGTACTATGACAAACTTTTGAGGACAGTTCGTCGCAATCGTTGTCAATATTATTTTGTTGTTCTACTTCAATGCACATTAGACGATAATTATGTGAACGGAATTTTTGCTTTCACAAAAATATTGTGTAAGAAAATCTTGTTACAATGGATAATAATGGTTTGTCTTAGTAATACATACATCACAATTTAAGGTTTAGTCTTCAATAATTGTTGATACTTGTAATTTTCCTAATATTAATCTAATTATAAATATACGGAGTGTGGTGCAGTTGCCGAATGGGAGTATGTCGGCTTATTTCAAAGGTCTTCTCGAACTTGTTCGAAGCGCATTAATCGTCGTTGGCGGGGCATGTCTCTTGTGCAATAAAAATTGGTTGATGGATGTGTATGGTGGACGCGGGTATTATGGTGGGGATCGAGGCCGAGCATGGCTGGAGTGTACGATGCGGAATGCGTTACTGTGGGAATGCGCTCAAAGTACCGTTGCGCGCCGCGCGCCAGTCTACACCGCACCACGTCGCCCGCCGTGGAATTCGAGACCAATTCGCTGCCCCGCCAACTAAATACTGGGTGACTCACGGCCTCTTCAGTCTTGATGCCTCTTATGAATGCAGTTTTTTATAGTCCGCCTCCGACCCTTATTATGGGTTTCTCGGAAGGACCATCCATTAATGCAGTGCCGAACTGCTTCGTTGAATGCGTGTATCGGTATTTTGTTATTTATTGCAACTGCATAAATCTACTACATGGAAACATTTCCTGCAAAAAAATAGTGTTTCAATAAATTAAAGGTGCTTATATGTTGTTAGACATCAGAAACTTAAATAGATAATTTAAGATCGTTAACTTATTTTTTACGGTTTATACCTAAGTAAGCCGTCCATACATAATTTTGTAGGTTTTAACAGTTTTTTTTTTCTCAATAATCATCGAGTAATTCATAATTTTATGTTACATAATCATTAAATAATATCTGCGTACCAAAGATACTTTATATTTTTAAATAAAGTAAGTTTATCTTAATATAATTTAAAAGGAGATCAGAGTTCACAATTATCATGTTCCGATATACATAAATAAACAAAGTGCAAGAAAATACAAACGTATAAAAATACGCTAACGGTATTCCGTACTTTTATTTGCTTTTCATCAAGTTTGTTTGGCCAATTAACCGTTAACCACGTCTTGGATACTGTAGTGACGCTAGAAAGAGAAAGAATTGCGAATTACAGCACTTTCTATCTCATCATGCTTACGTTGTTGAATGGAAGCGGTTTTTTTTAAGACGGCGCTTCTATCAGAAAATGAACAAAAAACTCGAGTCGCGGACTCTAGAAATTAGATCATCGAACTGTAGGTGAGGCCATTGAACGTGGCATTATTTCGACTTGTATACAAACTTTTCAAGAATAAAATGTTTGGGTTGATAATTTCTAGTAAAAAAACTAGTTGTTTTATATTTTTATCTTCGTTCTAAAGAAATAAGGTAAAAAATAATCAAAACCGAAATAGATAAAGAACTAAAATAATAAATATACACAGAAGATTATTGATAATAAAGCTTCAGCAAAATTTCCAATAAACAAGTAAAGTAAATTGTAAAGGCAATTTGTATTTGTGATTGCATTTATTATTCAATCATGTGAAAATAGTTCCCGCGGAGACAAAGTAAATTTCAATAACATTTTTTGTTGATCTAATATTAGAATATTAATTAATTTTAACCTTTTATTTATAACAAATTACTCATGATATTTGAGTCAGCAATCTTAAGTATTTATTTATTTAGTTCTGTTATTGGTCACCTAATTTCAAAAGGCAGCGGTACGCTAGACGGCGCGTTGCCCCGTGGCCCCCACCGCATGACGTGTAAAGCACCAATCCACCGTCACCTCTGCCGCCGACGTTGTGTTCGCCATCCAATAAACAAGTGCACGCTTTCGGAGCGTGTTGACGCGCCAACGCTGCCATTTTTGGCCGGCAAAACCGGTATTACCCATAATAAAAATTGTGATAACATTAACCAAACTTTTACTTGTTACAGACAAACGGTCGAGTCGCAACCGAGGTTAGGGCACCCATTGCAGCTGTCGAGATCGTCGTCGAGTCCCCGATCAAGATGCAAGCATCGCCTACTCCCGCCGCTCCTACAGCAGCGCCCACATCATCACCCGCACCCAGTCAGTCATTCAAACCCACAAAACGAACGGCTAAAGACTACATATTTGGAAAACTCATCGGAGATGGAATGTTTAGCACTGTTTTCCTCGCTAAAGACATTCACAGTGGAAAGGAGTATGCAAGTAAGTGCAGTTAAATAATTTCAGAACATATTAATTTTTATTTGAATAATATAAGTATATTATGCAAACATTAGATAATCAAACATGACCAAAAGAACTAACGATTTTGTGTTTTTTTTTTCAGTTAAAGTTTGCGAAAAACGGCATATCATCCGGAAAAAGAAAATGGAATATATCAAACGGGAAAAAGATGCGTTAAACATGCTTTTCAAAGTTCCGCACGGTTTTGTTAAACTGTATTGCACGTTCCAAGATGCAGAAAGATTATACTTCGTGTTGTCGTACGCAAAGAATGGCGAATTGTTATCTTTTATTAACAAAGTTGGTTCGTTCGAGTTGAATGTAGCTAAATTTTATGCTGCCGAACTTTTATCGGCATTAGAAAAGATGCATGCTAAAGGAATAATCCACCGAGACTTGAAGCCTGAAAACATTTTACTTGATGAAAATATGCATTTGCAAATAGCAGATTTCGGAACTGCAAAAATTATGGATCCTGAAGAAATAAAATCGGCTCCCGTTGCTCAAGAGGAGGACTCAACAAGGAATGAACGCTCTAGGAAAATTAGTTTTGTTGGAACGCCACAATATGTGAGCCCAGAACTTCTACATAACTGTGTAGACACTCGTACATCCGACTTATGGGCGTTAGGTTGCATTATCTACCAAATGATCTCTGGATTGCCTCCTTTCCGCGCTGCTACTGAGTTTCTTACCTTCCAAAAAATATTGAAAATGGACTATGAATTTCCAGAAGGATTTCCCGCTGACGCTAAAGATTTAGTTGAGAAATTATTAGTTTTGGATCACACCAAGAGGATCGGAGCTGAAGACAGAGGAGATACCTATGAAACCATTCGAAATCATCCATTCTTCGCCGGAATAGATTGGGATAATATTTGGGAACAAACCCCTCCAACAATTAGTCCTTATTTACCAGGAGGGTCATTTGAAGAAGAATACAATATCCCTGATCATCTCGAACCAGGACTAGGCAATAATCAACTTGTGCGTCTGTGGGAATTCGACCTATCTACATCCAAAGGTAAATTTTTATTTTATTTGTTAAAACACGAAATAAAATCAATAGTCACTAGATAAATAATGGTTATAGTTAGCGGTTCTAGTGCATAGATGAGGACAATTACAAAGACTTGAGCGAGTGCAGTGAAGCGACGAGTAAGAGGCAAACGGAGCGTCCGTGACATAAATTCCTGGCAAATTTATACGATTCATAACTGAACACAGTCCGTAATGTTCCGTTCTTACGGTGCCTTTGCTAAATAAGCAATATAGAGATTGTGTATTATTAAATCTTTAGATAATATATGAACTTCTTTTTGATACTTGCATATGCTAAATCTGTAATGCTGCGTCCTCATATTCGCTTGTACTTACAATTCGGAACGGATGTCCTCAGTTCTTAGTTTACGGTTGTATAGTATGACGTCAGCTTTCCGGCACGCCACTGCGATGGGCCAAGTTCCACACACTGCCGCCTGCGCCATATGAAATCATGAATGGGCGCGACCCAGCTCTTTAGTAATACCGACCTTATGATCAGCTGACGAATCACGCTGCATCACTACAAATATAATTGCTGATGCGTTCATCGTCTGCGAATGTTCATTGTATTAATAAAGTTTGTTTTTAGTTCTACGTAAACTTACGTAATTCATTTAATTACAGGTATATTAGATATCAGTCCAGAAGAGAAGCGTCGACGTTTGGAAATTCAAGCCCGTGAAAATAAATGGCACCAATTTGTTGATGGAGAATTAATACTAAAACAAGGCTATGTGGACAAGAGAAAGGGATTGTTTCCTCGTCGTCGTATGCTGTTACTCACTACCGGCCCTCGTCTATTCTACGTGGATCCCACTAACATGGTTCTTAAGGGAGAAATTCCTTGGTCGCCCGAACTACGCGTAGAAGCAAAGAACTTCAGAATATTTTTGGTGCACACGGTGAGTTACTCAGAAACGAGACTTATTAGAATTAATATTTTTTTCATTTACGAACCTATAGGCAATGTATTTCCTGGTTTACTTTACTAAATTTTTATTTTATTTGTCCTCAGCCTAATCGTACCTACTACCTCGAAGACCCAGAATCGTACGCGCTAGAATGGACTCGCGTGATAGACGAGGTTCGCATCGGCACATATGGGCGGGATACGACTTAAGTAGGCGCGGTGTCTGCACGAGTCGCGTCCGCGCCGCCGCCGCCGCGGCCCCTGGGACCCTTCCGCCCCCCGCTCGGCGCGTGCACACTTCTAGGGTACTGTAGTTCGTGTTCAGCACGCAGACAGGTCAACCATGATAGCTTCGCGACGAATCACGTCCTGAAGCGATGCACCGGCCGAGCGCCGTGGGGCGTGTGGCGCCGTCATATAAGTATGCTGCAACGCGCTACCGCCAGCACACACGGAGACGCCACGAGACGACAACGGCCACCCACGCCGACAGCCGTCGATAACTGATTGACTGATTCCTATTATTAATTAGTATATCCCGACTATCTTATCATAAATTATTCTAATTAAGTCCTTATTTAATTGTGGATATCGGTGATGTGTAAATATTTGTCTTAAATTATTATTATTGCAATCGCTTAGGTTAGAATATATAATGTGTAATCGTGGGCCGTGTAGTCTTACACGGACCTTTGTAAGAATGGACTTGTTATTCACCACCTGCGTGTTCACAAAGCCCGTTCCGGTTGGTAACTAGGCAATTTATAGCTAAATTGAATATTATTTATTTTAATTTTAATTATTTGCCAACGGAATGTGTCTGCTGTACAGTTAATAATGGTAGAAAATTATAATCAGACTGTTTCCACGTTTTGCGTCGCGTATCACTAAAAGTATGTTAGTTAATTTGTTGAAAGTTGCGTGTTATTAATACGAAAAGTTTACATGTGAAATGCTGTAAAAGATAAATACGTGAAACTGGAAAGGTCTGATGTGACAAGGATAGCTTCTTGTTGAGCTGAACAGATTTGCTAGCATATGTGATAGTAATACATAATGCTAGCGTGGTTTAGCTGCTCGCTCTCCGTGCACGTGCGCGTCACGTTGAGAGCAATGCTTAGTATAACGTGCATCATAATCATGCACTATAATCCTAATTTAGAAAAGGTATACGGATAACATCGCTACTCAAAGTGATAATTATGCTATTGGAATGCTATATTAATTATTGAAATTCTTAAATGTTGTTAATTTAAAATTCAGGATGCTTTCAGTGTCCCTAATTTTTGTGTTTTGGTAAATTTGTATGAAAAATATGTTCTTCGCCATTGCGAACATTCAATGTCATGGCTTTTAGGTCTTGGTTTCGATTCTATCGAAATTAATTGTTTATTATTGTAGCCTGTTTAAATTAGTGTATTAAATGCCTAAAACTTGCCTGGAATATTTAAATTAGGGCTGATTTTATTGTATAATTGGATTAAATCCATGGTTCAATGTAAAACCCTAATTTTAGTGAAATATAGTCATAATATTTAGAATTCCAGCTTTAGTGTTGAAAATTGATTATATTGGTTTCAATAGTGAAATATATTTTGGATTATGACATAGAAACAGATGATAATAGCAATCTGACTACTCCATGACATTGTTAATATTTAAACAAATAATAATAAATCTGCATTTAAAATTTAAATAACTGTTATCTATTGTAATTATGTTACAACATTTGTATTTGCGTAAATTCCCATATAGTAACAAAATACGAAATTGAAAGTAAATTGAAGTTGATTTTTTGATATACATAATGTCTTTTATTCATAGTTTTATCACCCAACTTTAGATTGTACCATAGTTATGCTTATAAAATTCAAAAGTCCAAATGATCCAAGGGATTTTAACTTAACTGTCATATTGTTTCCCTTATAAAAATATTTCAAATATTATTGCAAAATGTTCCACAAATCATAATCTTTTGTTACACTAGCTGTCTATTAGAAAATGCCTACCTGAATAAATTTTAGAAAATTGAAAATATTAAGAATATAAAATACACAGAAGTAAATGCAGCAATGGTAGATAGTCACTTAAATGTGGGAATCCTATATGATTATGTGACAAAGAATTCACATGAGATTTAAAATCAGATGGCAAATTTAGTAATTTTTTAAACCAATCATGGCAGTTTAAAAGAGAAAGTGATCAATGTTGAATTTTTTAAAATTAAATATTGATTGTTTAAATCACAATCCTGGAGCTCTGAGAAGACGACATTTTTAAATAAGTTAGTTACTCTACCACAAGAATATTAATGCTACATGCATGCTTTGTAATATATCAGAATCTAAAACGATCTCAACTTTCGGCCACTATTAAAAATATGATACCGAAAAAAATTAAATCTTAAGTAACAAAAGTATGTAATGAGATACAAACTTTACAGGTAGCTCGCTAACTTATTGTGCAATGACACCTCATCTACTGAATACTAATGATAAAACATTTTTTTTGTTTAGTGCTCTTCTATTTTCACTAAAATTATTGTGTTAAAATATTTTAATGCAGAGAAATCCACAGAAAAAAGGCAAAACGTTTGTGTTCTCGCTAAATTTCAATATAAAATACAATACACTAAAAGATACCGTACATTCTATTCCCGCCAGAAACCATAGAGTAAGTAAGTAGTGATGAGCCCCTCACTCGCTTCGACAAAATGAGGGAGTAATCGTTTTTTAATTTTAAACCACCTCATTTAGCTCCTCACTTTTTGAGGCTTCAAGCACGAGGCGCGAGCACAGACATTACACCTCACGCAACAGAATAGTGCGTTGTTTAGAATGAAAAGGTGATCTGATACTTACTCAATATATTCAAGATTGAGGGAACGGGTTAAGTTTTATGAGTTTTATGGAACGATTCAAGTTTGTTTATGTGTTTCTTCGCAAATACCTATTTGATTTTTTATAGATAAATTATATTAATGAGTCTAAAGAGTCAAAGTGAATAAAAATTTATCGGTTTTATTTAGAAATATATTCATCATCATCATCATCATCAGCCGGAAGACGTCCACTGCTGAACATAGGCCTCCCCCTTTGAACGCCACGACGGACGACATTGCGCCAGCTGCATCCAGTGACCGCCCGCGACTCGGACGATGTCGTCCGTCCATCTAGTCGGGGGTCGACCCACGCTGCGTCTTCCGGTTCGTGGTCTCCACTCGAGAACCTTTCGTCCCCATCGGTTATCGGTTCGTCGAGCGATGTGGCCTGCCCACTGCCACTTCAGCTTACAAACTTTGCGAGCTATGTCGGTCACTCTAGTTCTTTGGCGAATATCCACGTTTCGGATCCTATCGCGCAAAGAAACCCCTAACATAGCTCTCTCCATGCCTCGCTGAGCGACTCTGAGCTTCTCTAAGAGGCCAGCAGTTAAGGACCACGTTTCAGTGCCATAGGTCATCACTGGCAACACACACTGGTTATACACCTTTGTCTTTAGGCACTGTGGTAATTTGGACGTGAAGATATCGCGTAGCTTCCCGAACGCTGCCCAGCCGAGTTGGATTCTTCGAGTGACCTCTTTGTCGAAATTGGATCTACCTAACTGGATTGTCTGTCCAAGGTACACGTAGTGATCGACAACTTCGAGAGTATCAGTTCCAATGACCACCGGTACGGGTGCAACATGGACATTCGACATGATTTTCGTCTTGTTCATGTTCATTTTAAGACCCACCTGTTTGGAAACGATACTCAGGTCGCTGAGCATTGTACTGATGTGCTCCATCGATCTTGCCAAGATGACTATATCATCGGCGAAACGAAGGTGAGTGATGTATTCGCCATTGATGTTGATGCCGTATTCGTCCCATTCCAAGAGCTTGAAGACGTCCTCCAATGCATTCGTGAACAGTTTCGGAGAAATGACATCTCCCTGTCTCACGCCTCTGCGCAATTGGATTGGTTTCGTGCTCTCTTCCTGGTAGCGAATCGACATTGTGGCGTTGCTATACAAACTCTTCAACACTTCGACGTATGTACCTGTAGTCGATTTGGCATCGCTGGAGGGACTGCAGTACTACCCAGGTTTCGATTGAATCGAAGGCTTTCTCATAGTCCACAAACGCTAAGCAAAGTGGCAGATTATACTCCTCGGGTCTTCTGTATAATCTGCCGCAGCGTATGTATGTGGTCTATGGTGCTAGAGCCTTTTCGAAAACCGGCTTGTTCGGGAGGCTGGAAGTCATCAAACCGGCGTTCGAGACGATTCGTAATGACCCTCGAAAACAGCTTATAAACGTGGCTCAGAAGCGAGATTGGTCTATAATTCTTCAACAAGGTCTTGTCACCTTTTTTGAAGAAGAGCACAACCACGCTTCTGTGCCACGCTTCTGGCGTCGTACCCTCGAGAATGACGGAATTGAACAATTTCTGGAGGACTAAGAGTACCGGTTTTCCACCCGCTCGCAAAAGTTCAGTAGTGATTCCGTCATCCCCCCGTGCCTTGTTGTTCTTGAGCTGTTTGAGTGCCATTCTAATCTCGTACAGGCTGATGTCTGGGATATCCTCGGTGTGATGTCGGGTCAGCTTTGCTCTGGTGTCCTGAGCATTGCTTTCAACGGGTTGTTGTGACGATATGTACAACTGTCCATAAAACCTCTCAAGCTCAATCAGAATCTCCGGTTTTGAAGATACGATCCTGCCGTCGTCGATCTTCAGCTTCGTCATCTGACTCGACCCAGCAGACAAATTTCGTGCAAACACTTTGGAGCCTTGGTTCCGCTCTATTGCCTCCCTAATACGTGTAGTATTATAGGAGCGCAGATCGCGTCGCATCGATTTGGAAATTCGTCTGTTAAGTCGACCATATTCCGACATATCGGTTGAAGATTGCAGTCTCATATCCCTCCGGTCCGCCATCAACTTGAGCGTTTCGTCTGAGAGCTTTTGAGATTTAATACGGCGCGGGGCCTTATAGAACTTAGACCCCACAGCTTGGACTGTTTCTACAAACCCGTTGTTTATTTCGTCCACAGACTCGCATTCAGCTAGACACTGAAAGCGATTGTGTAGTTGGAGTTGGAAGGCTTCGGGGTCCACGATATGAGCAGCACTAGGACGGAGCGTAGACTTCATCAGACGTGATCTTTCGAGCTTAACATTGATATTCAATGTGCCTCTAACGATTCGGTGATCGCTACCGGTTTTCACCCTGCTGATCACGGAGACATCATTGAATATGTGCTTTCTGGTTGTCATGATGAAGTCGATCTCATTTTTTGTCAAACCATCAGGGCTCATCCAGGTCCACTTCCTGGAGGGTCTCTTCTGGAAGAAGGAGTTCATCGCAAAGAGTCCCTCCTTCTCCATGAAATCGACCAGCTTCTGGCCCCGGTGGTTGCGCCGCCCATACCCAAATCGACCCACCCTCAACTCATCGCCGTTCGAAGCGCCCAGCTTCGCGTTAAAGTCCCCCATTACAACGGTGAAGTAGGTATTAGTCGTATGTATGGCTTCAGAAATCTCCTCATACATAGCCTCTACCTCATCGTCGGAGTGTGAAGAGGTCGGGGCGTAAACCTGTATGACCTTCAGCGAATACCTTTCGGTAATTCTGAGTATAAGGTACGCCACTCTGCTCGACACACTATCGATCTTCACCACGTTGTTCACGAGGGACTTGTGGACGAGAAACCCAACACCACCTTGAGATTTTTGATCTCCTTCCCGGAAGAAGAGCATGTTACCGGACTCAAGGATTACCGTATCCTGGCCCTCTCTTCGGATTTCGGATAATCCCACTATGTCCCATCGCAACTTGCTCAATTCTTCCTCCAGCTCTAATAACTTCACGTCAGTCCTCAGTGTGCGGACATTGTATGTTGCCAGGGCCAGAGTCCGTTTGTGTTGGTAGCGCCGAATCTGCCGGGGATTCTTAGCACCCCCTGCCCCTCCGTTACCTGTCCCGCTACCAGAGACAGGAATAGAGGGGCTGCCGGGGACTGGGGGCCATACAACATTGTCGTCCATCATGAGGGGGGGGGGTTGCCATAATCCCCACGCTTGGCAGGCGACTTGGGGATCGCAGTAGGTGGTGGTAGGTGATACCGGGAGGCGCTGCTGCCCGCCTTCCGTATAATCCCTCAGTCGGCTCCTACGACACCCACGGGAGGATATGGGGGGGTGCTACTCTTAGGCCGGCACCCCACGGCCTCCGGTGAATAACGGAATATTAATAGAAATATATTAATATTCCGTTATTCCTTTTTTAAAATCACGAATTAACGAATTATTCTTATTCGAATAGTCTGTACATGTTTGCTGATGATATAAAAGCTACTAAAACAATAAGAAATTATAGAGATTCGGAGTTGTTTCAAAGGGATTTGGATAAATTCATGGTGTGGTGTCAGCAAAATAAAATGACGCTCAATATAAAAAAGTGTAAGCATATAAAATTCACTCGTAATCGCAATGTAATACATACTAAATACAAATTAAATGAAGAAATTCTCGACGAAGTTCAGGAAATCCGGGATTTGGGCGTTCATATCGACAAACAATTGCATTTTAATAATCATATTAATACCTGTGTCTTAAAGGCTTCAAAAATGCTTGGCTTTGTAATAAGGGAATGCAAAAATTTCAAAATACCTCTAACTAAGATGGTCATGTACAACTCTCTGGTCAGAAGTCATTTGGAGTATTGTAGTATAGTTTGGTCACCTACCTATAAAATACACATACAACGCATTGAAAAGTTGCAAATTAAATTTATAAGGCACTTGACATTTTCATGCAAAATAAGAAAAAAAGTCAAACTATATGAAGATCGTTTAAAACATTTTCATATGTCTACATTAGAATCGCGAAGAAAAATAACGGATATAATATTTCTAAAAAGACTTGTGATGGGATCTGCTGACTGTCCCGATCTACTTTCTAAATTAAACTTTAATATTCCATGTCATTTACCGAGATCTGGCAGTAGCAAACTTTTCCATCCACCTAAGAGTCGTACAAATCTAAAGTTGCACTGTCCTTTATCGCGAGCAACTGCATTTTATAAGGAATACCAAAATAATATCGACCTTGTTTTGACTTCCATACCTGCTATTAAGAAACTATTCATACACTAGAATTGTAACGTGTATTATATATTTCTTTTATTATTTTTATTTTTAAGTTAAAACTATAGCCAGTATAAACGCGTTCTCATATATGGACGTTTCGGTCGCTCGGCTGTGACGCGCGTGCTTGTCTCTCATAGTGCTGCTGTGGCTCGCCTGGAGCGCCTATGTGTGGGAGAAGTGTGTAATGATCTAACAATGCAAGCGGTGCCCTCCTATAAGTAATGGGACACTTAGTATATAACCTTGTCATTATGTAATTTTTATTGTAGTTTTAGTGTACTCATTGTTGTGAGAGCCTGATAAATAAATAAATAAATTATAAACGATTAATCGATTTAAAAAATGGAACATTTAACAATATTAAAAATAATCTGCGTACTGTGGTCATTCTGTTAAATAATAATCTAATAAAGTTTATTTCTTAGAATCTAAAGACAAAATATGTTTTGTTTAGTATTACCGACTCCCTCCCTCGTTTTGTACAAAACGGCAACGTTCTGTGCGCTTCGCTACGTACTCATTCACTGATACTGTAACATTCTTCCTAACCACACCTCAAATGAGGGGTAACTCGCGACCCCCTCACGAGTGAAAATGAGGTCCTCAGCAATCCTCATTAAAAAAGAGTGCGTTACACAACGTTATAAGTAGGTAAGTAAACACTAAAAACTTCTGTTTAGGGTTTATGATTTCCGACTATGAGGTTTGATTTTAATAATCAATCTTTGGCATCCTCATCAATCTCAAAATCGTAGCAAACTAAACAGATCGAAAATAGATCTTTACTGTGGGATTCTTCAATCATTTCTTTTTAATATCTCGAGACTACGAATACCTATATTATATTCTTCTATTTCAACCTTCAACCTTTTGTTGTTTCATAAAAAAAAAGATTGTAGATTTTAAAAGACTATGGAAAAAGTTACATAACTTTTCTTTCACAGTACCTAATTATTATTATTGGTTTACAATTTCCCTAATGTTTATATAAAAATCCTTCGATATTACCCCAATAATATAAATTTTTGAAGACACTGCGCTGCACGTCAGGCTACCACAATTGTCAAATATCGTGAATAGATTTTGAACTCAGCCCCCAATGTATTAAGGTTTATAATCAAGTGGAGTAATTCGACAGTTTCGAATTTCCTGAAGTGATGTTGACTGTACGATATTAGGAGAATAGACCGAATAGATCAACCTTTACGTTATCGATTTTATCCTGTATCGATCTGAGAGGTCAATTTACGAAAGCAATGAGGAAGTATTTAACAAATAAAGATTAGTTCTTGACATATGATATTGATATTCTTGAGCTATGATATTCATTCAAATTTTGTTTTTGACGTAATAAAAGGAAATTGAGTATCGGAAATGAATAAATATGACATTATTTCGTGTATTTTATAATATATAACTTGTAAATTTATTTTATTTTATTTGAATCGTAAGTTTAAGTTATTTATTATGTTACGTGTAAAGGAACTAGGTTTGGTTTATATGTCAACATTAGTGATGAGCTAACTTATTGGTTGCTCGTAGCTTCTATTGACTCGATTATATAAATTCTCGGATGAATCGAGCCGATTGAAGTTACGAGCAACCAATAAGATGGCTCATCACTAATGTTGAGATATAAACCGTAGACAGAGAAAGTACAAGATATAAACCAAACATCGTTCCTTTACACGTTACATAATTGATAGATTAAACTTACAATTCAAACAAATTAAAATTAACTTGAAAGTTAGATATAATAAGAAACACAATCAACTAAAAACAATTTACTTTTATTACGTCAGAAACAAAATTTAAATGAATATCATAGACAATTATCCAAAAATCGCTAGTGACATCTAGTTCGATTTTTACTCAAGAACTAAATTTTATTTTTTAAATACTTCCTCATTTCTGTAATGTAAATAAAATAATAACTGGATGGACATCTATAACCACAAATTACTCTTTTGGGTACTAAATTTAGGTACTATTTAAGCTGTGTATTAACATTAGCAGTCTGCAGAAAAAATCACTTGATTTATTTAATTTCAGATAGGTATTTAAAATCGACTATATACGGTATTTATTCATCTTCGTATCTGAACAACTGACTTTATAATACGGCGATATGACAACAGTTATTAAATATGTTGGAAGAACCACAGATTTTAAAGGTAAAACTCTATGGGAAATAGTTGGTAACTTGAAGAACTTGGGAGTTGGGAGAATTATTGTACGATCAGTGTTTGAACGATATCCTGAACCTAGTTTTATGAAGATTGTCAAGGTTGAAACTTGTCCCGACGAAGTAAGTCAAATTATTAATATGATTTCAGGTTGATAACCTTATTTCGGGTAAATTTGCTAAATTAAGACTGAATAACCTGCTGTCTCAAATTAATTTTATTTTAATCAAAACTGTAGTTGTCATTTAGTTCATCTATTGCCTCTAAAGGATTTCCTCCAAGAGCAATTACTCTTTATTAATCAACCAAGGGGTTTCAAATATCTATAAATAGAAAATAGTGATACCCGATGGTAGAAAGGGTATAGAGAAAGACCAGGGAGCTTTAAGATCACATGAGTTTATTTATCACCAGAAATATATACTTTATAAAATACAAACAGCACCGACAATAGCTTTACGAAGAGTTACTTTTAATATATATAATAACAATATATAATGTCAATATTTAAATTTAAATTAATAACGAAGACCTTTAACCAAGAAGGTTTCCCTCAACACACCCCCTCAATCTGTTGCACATGCTGACTATCCTAACTTTCACTTCTACCTGCCATTACAATACAGACATTAATTTAGAATGACTACCAAAACTACCGTAGATATATATTTCTAATTCCCTATCTCTCAGATCCATTTTACCTAACCTCTGTCAACTCCTGTATACCCCTTTACATTACATACATATAAATCCCTAACTGTCTCTAAACTTAACATCTTAAAACAAACTTTCTTATTTTCTTCTCGACTTTGTTTACCACAAAACTTCAGCTATATAAAAATCATTCTGCTAACTCATCTCCTACTCTACTTACTTTATCATAAAAAAAACTTCAAACAATTAACTCCTACTCGAACCCACTTAATGATTCCTAACTTCTTTCAATACAAAAAAATAAACACACTACCTACCCTACTACCTCATTGTGACAATACAGAATTTCTACTAACAAATTTAAACTCATATTCTATACTAACTCTTTCAAATACATTAGTTTTAAAAAAATAATAATAATAACAAACATGATAAATAATACAAACAAAACATGATAACAAAACTTAAGGCCAATACTCGCCAAATATTTGTAAAAAAATTTAAGAACTAGTTTCTAACTCTTCCATCGCCATTATATAATGATTTATTTAGTTTTTTAAAAATTATTTTATAGCTTCATTGTTTTCTCACCCCCTTAAATGAATCATTATTAACCTTTAGACATTTCCATTCCATTATATAATCTTTGTATTTTTCTGGTAATCTTCAATCTCTTTCAGGATGTTTTCTTCGACTATTATTCTCCACCGCTCGACTTCCTTCAATTTCTTCACAACTTTTTCTCTTTTCTGCTTCATTCTCTACATTCTTTCGATTTTGATCTTCTTCAATATTCACTACCTCTCGACTTCAATCTTCTTCCATATGTTCATTATCAAAAACTTCTTTATTTTCTTCATGTTGTATAACATTATCAAAATTAAAACCACTTTCAAAACTATTGCCATTATTCACATTACTATAATTTTTTACTTCTTCATTTATTCAACCATCATTTATTTATTTTTTTAACAATCATCCGTTGCTATGCTTATCATTCGTTGCTATGCTTATCTGGACTCTGGCTTAACAATTTTTTCAAAACAATAAACACTGCATTTTTATTTTATTTTATCTTCATCCCTGGCCTCTCTTTAAGGGCCCATAACCTGATACCCGATGGTAGAAAGGGTATAGAGAAAGACCAGGGAGCTTTAAGATCACATGAGTTTATTTATCACCAAAAATATATACTTTATAAAATACAAACAGCACCGACAATAGCTTTACGAAGAGTTACTTTTAATATATATAATAACAATAGACGCGCATGTGCAGAACAGATTGTCAATATTTAAATTTAAATTAATCAGGAAGACCTTAAACCAAGAAGGTCTCCCTCAACAAATAGAATGCTTGTCCCAAAATATTTAATAATTTTATTTCTAAAAAAATAAATAATAGACAGGATTAACATTATGAAGAATGATGATTTGTATCAGTAAAAATACTTGGTCTAGTATTACCCCTGGGAGATATATTTCAAGGATATTAGATGGACTAACTAAATGGCAGTTGTTACCTAGTTGCGCAAACATCATCATCATTAGTTTAAAACAAAATTACTGATACAATTTAAAAAGTTTTGAATGTTGTTTAGAGCTTAAAGTTGTTATTAAACTATATTATGTTTGTGTAACTGGTTCTTAGTATAGGGTAAACTAAATTATTTAAAGACATAATCTTTCACATGATCTTTGAAGGATTTAGTAGATGTACAAAAATACTTCGAACATTTCAGATTTTGATATTGTGTTCTTTATGCTTTGTTACTTGGCCATGTTACCATATAACAAAATTATGTTCTTTTCTAAATATTAAATAAAGTTATCATCAATTAGTATAAGTGAAAAACCCTTTTTAGGGTAAGTTAGAAAATATGATTTAATACATAAATTTGTATTTGAATTAATTTCAGGAAAGGCGTAGAGTTCGTGTTTGGGTAGAAAAAACTTTTAGGGGTAGAAAGTTGCCAGGTCTTACTGAGATATACCGAACATCATACAAACCTGATTACAAACTCATACCAAAACATGAGGAATCTAAACTCTTAACTTCAGTTACTAACGAGCATTATTTCCCTGAAGTGATCTTGCCAAATACTATTGAAATGCCACCTTTAATGAAAAAGTTCATTATAAAGGATCACGAGAAGAAAGGCTTAGAGGTAATTATGAATTCAATACTAACAAATTTGGATGTTTCAGTTAATAGTGTTAGAATTGAGAAAGTGATGGCTTTTTAAAAAAAGTATTGACTACTTATTTGATATGAAAGAATTATGTCCACTTTTCATGCATTGATTGACCTGTCACATTTTTTTTTAAACTTTGCGTCTACCTGCTATTAGTTATGATATAAATTTGTCTTTGCTTAAAATAGATTTATATCTAAGCATCTTTTCATCTGGAGGCCAGAAAGATTCGTAATTTGTAAATGTCTTGAGGTTATATCACCTGTCAAAATTCGAGATAATTCTAAAGCTACTTTAAAAATTAATGAATGAAAATAAAAGCTTTATATAGTTTGACTCGTAAATGTGAAAATTAATTAATATCTAATTGTTAATGTTTACTTTTAAAACTTACGATGAAGCAAACCGTTACTGTATGGTCCGAATCTGATAGGGATAACTTTTTGTAAATGTTTATCAGCTCCCAGTTCTTATTCTGACTTTATTTAAAGACTTAATTACATGATATGAAATAAGTAAAAAATGAACTACAATTTGAAATAGCTATATCACATCACTAGCCACGTTAGAAAATTTTTAGGTCAAAATTGGATATGATTCTTTGTTACTGCAATAAATATCTATTTTATTTATATGATTTTATTTGAGAACAATTAATGATCAAATTGTACTGGGTGGAGGGTCTATGTAGAGTAGAGTTTGTGTATTATGTTAGAGTTTGGGTGTTGGTTGAAAAAGTTGGTTGAAAACATCTTTCAAATTTGAAAATATTGGCCCGTTTCTGAATTGAAAAAAGTACAAAATGACAACAGGTTATTGTCAATAACTCAAGATTTTTACGTTTCACTAGTCAAAAAATCCTAGTATTATCAAACTGCTATCATCTGATTATTAACCAGAAACTAAAACCAGTTTAAGTGACTATTTAGTATAGTTTGAGACATGCTTAACTTTAAGTTCTCAATTCAGAAATCGGGCGCATATATGTTATATACGGTGGGCTTTGCCGCAACTCGACACCTTGTGCCTATTTTGCGTGAATAATGTGGTTGCATCAGTCCTGCCACCCCAGCTCCTCCAGGAAGCCCATAAGTCCTTTAACTTTGCTGCATGCCTCCTTTAATGTCCGTGGGCTACCCAGATGTGTAGTCATATGTCTAGAAACACCCTGCATTCCAGGAGCACTTCAGCTAGCGGTGAGGCTTATTTATCGTAACAGGTAAAAAGAACAAATATTGCCCTACGGAACTTAACAACTGTTATTCGTAACAAAAATAACTGTTATAGAAAATACTACACGCGAGAGCAATGCGTAAAATATCGTAACAGTACAATCTGCTGTTATCTCCTGTTATTGGTCTGCGACTGTTATCCCTGTGTTCCTGTTATCCTAGCTAGAACAGTTCCCCTCTCATTCTTACCTATGAAGTCAAAATGAGAGCCACCTAGTACTTTCTTCTAAATATCAGGATATTAAAGTTGACCCCAAATCATAGGCGTCATAAGCCAACTTTGTGCCTCCTTAATTTTGCTTCTTCGTATCAACTAATGTTATTCGTCTATTTCTCTCTCATTCTCTCATATAGATCATAAGGTAGTAAAAAGAGATGGTCACTAGTATTTTATAATACAAGAAATTTGTATTGACACTTCTTTATTCCATGATACATAAAGCAGATAGACTCCTAAAATTTGTTGTATAATTTAGTCGTAGGAATACGTTCGAATACATTACACATAAACGTTTGCTATTGAAACAACCACACGGGAAAAAAATATTGAATAGTCATCAAATTATTTTATGAATGATGAATTGTTTTAATTCATATACGATCATTTTAAACATATTTATACAAAAATAAATCCAATAATGCCTGGTTTAAAAATAAAAAATTGATTAAGCAAGTATATTTAATTTTATTGTACAAGTATCCGAACACGGCGTCTGCTGTCATCGATCAATGATTACTTGGGATTTTAGACTTTATTCTGATAGCAGCTAAGGCTTTTGAAACAAATGACAAGAAAATTTACTTCTTTGACCTGATTGGTAGTTATGATTAAAGCGTAATTATCAAGCTTATGTTGGTACAAATAAAGACCATATTTGCTTGATAATGATTAGTGGTATTTTTGACATTTGAACGGTCGTTTTAGAAGATAAAATTATACCCCGGATGCCATGGCGTCATCTGTACCCTGCGAACGGGTATTCTCCGCAGCAGGGTACCTAATGAATGACAGGCAAACACGCCTCGGGGTCAGAAAATTGCAACACCTGCTTTTTCTGCACCAGAATTTGTAAATATTAGATAAGTTAAAACTTGTAAATATGTACTGTAAATATCAAATCATGAACATACAATCAATTCAAAACTTTTAAATGCGCCAGTTTGTTATGCCCTTAAATATAATTAATAGTAAATTATGGACTATACAAAGGAAATAAAAATATAATCATATAGGTAATGTGTATTGCACCCATGCACAGCAAAACACAAATCTTCACCACATGACACCTAAACAGAAAAATAGAATGCATTATCTATCTTGACAAACTGACAGTCCTTAGCCTGATATGCATGAAGGAATGTTTTGGATTGTTTTTACTAGGCCTTAGCTATACACTAATTTTGATTGTAGTTAGAAAATAACAGGCTGTTATTTTATAACAGGTATTTGGAACTGTTAAACTTAGATAACAAGAACAGCTGTAACAGGTATTTGATTTAACCTGTTACGACTCATCATTAATTCAGCGTCCAGGTATGCTCTGCACAGAGAACTGTCACAGATATATAGGTGCTTGGTAAAATAGCCATGTCCAGTTAGTATACCTACTATTAGTCTTAGCGTTTGTATAGGTAGTTTGTTTAACTTATTTGCTGGTCTACCTTAGGATTGCATCTTTAGCTTGCCTGCAGTCAGTCGTTTGAGTCCAATATTCGTCGTGTTGTCGATAACAGCGTTCTTTCACCCAGTTTCTCAGCTGGAAATCGAAATGGAATGGGTATAATGGGTTCCGGTCCGATGGGCTTTCTGCTTGACCCTTCCCTGGCCAAGCTGCCTGTCGCGTCATTACCCCTGGACCCTCTGTGTATCTTATTCCATTGTAAAGTCAGATTATTTCTCTTACATACCTCTGTCAATTAACAGTGACGTTCATGTATTAGACTTGATGTCATCAAATTGTTGTTTAAAGCTTGTGATACCGATGCACTGTCAGAGAGAATACGGATATTTTTACTCTCTCGGGCTTGTAATTGCTTTACCAGCCTTTATTATACCCACGCATTCTGCCTGGAATACAGTGTTATAGATTCCCAGTACCGTGGATATGTGGATGTTTAGATCTTTCGAGAAGACACCAGCACCTGTACCTTTGTTAGTTTAAGAGCCGTCCGTGTAGATTCTTAGCTCTTTGTGAAGGCAGAAATCGGGTGTGTCTTCGTAGAGTATATTTTATAGTTCTTGTCAAAACCTACCTTCTGGGAATTAAGTCGTTGGTGGCCATAAAAAAAGGTGTATTCATTATTGATGTCTTTTAGGATGTTTGTGTGCGGGATATTATTATCCCCCCTGATTATGCTGATTGGGATGCAATGGTATGTTTTTAAGTTACTGATTGGTCTAAACGATTTTGCATCATTATAGTCTGATTTACCTGGTTTTTGGATAAATATCACCATGATCTCTCTCCATGACGTCTAGCCTGATACAAATAGCAACTTCCAGTATGGAGATCAAACATTAAAACATAACAGCTGTTTTTTTTTATTATGAAGGTATCATATATTTCCTTTTTAAAATATGAATTAATCCAGCGACATTTTCTTTCGGATTATTAGTAAAAAAAATAATATTCCTTTAATTTCTCAATGGCATGATAAGCAAAATACATATAAAGTGACTTCTACGTATTTTTACGTTGTTACTTATAGTTACTTCCATGAAATACTAAATTCTCCTAATATTATATTTGGAAACTCATATTTTTATAGAAACACGGACAATATATATTTAAAAAATATTTGTAAAAAAATCAATAATATTAACAATGAAATACGACTTCAATCGATATTACTATATTGCGTTAAGTATATTTTGTTTTGAATCCAATGAAAATTTCCATGGGAATATTGCATACCAACAGCCTTGTAATTATTTATGAAGCAAAAATATAACACGCTATATATGCAGCAGACTTTTGAGTCAAACACGTATTCTACTAAATATCATTAAAATCCACTCAGAAATACTTTAAATAAAAGTTTTATCATATTAAACTACTACAAAGGGCTTGCGGAGAAAGCGCGGGGTGCGGAACGTAAGGTATGGCATGATCCAGAATGCTTAGTGTAAGTTTTTTTGATGTTTACGTTCACTGTCGATCGTGAGCGTGCTAAGATTTTAGTATAGAATTCGGTACAGCGCCTCTAGCGGTAACTACCAAGAAGTATAAATCTCCATACAAATTCTTAACGCGCTCACTAGTGAACGCGTTAGCGTAAAACTTACACTTACCACTCTGGCATAATAGGTGTCTCGTAATGTTGCCAGTTATATTAAGCTTATGACAAAAAAATGATTTTGCAATAAGCCAACCTTAATACCTCATTTTCTTATTTTGGTAAACAAGAAAGCTGATGTCTTTCTTTACACTACCAGGAGCCTTAATGCCACAGCTGTAAAGATAGTTAATGAATTATAACTACAGATAATTATTTTTTTAAATAAAATATATTGGATTAAAATATATCAATATCTTGTCGGTGTAAAGTATCTTGCTGTCGAAATTGCACCTGTAAAAAATGTGGTATGCAATGTACAGATTTGTGCACTTACTGCGTAGGAAGAGATTGTCATGGAACATTAAGAGCCATATGACAAATTTTCACTCTGTGAGATTAGGTATTTTGAAGCGTTCTGAGTTCTCGATAACTTGTTCAAGGTCACGAGTCCACAATACTGTGTTGAAACTACGACCAAGCTATTTTGATACTTTTCCCAATTTTTGTATTTTTTTTAGTATTTCTATGGTGAGATTCATTATCGATTCCCGAATATTTAAACACGACTGCTCTCGAAAATGAGTCTATTGTTTTTAGAATTAATGTATGTATGTGAGTTTTTTATTGCACCATAACTTTTGAAAGATATAACGGATATGAATGTATAGGGTATCATTAGAAACATCATCCTAAGTTCCTATGATGGCGACCATCTTCGATTTGTTATTTGTCATAGTGTACCTATTGTATTCTATTTGATATCCGTATTGAGGGAGTCATGACAAAATATGTAGGTAATCCAACATTTTGTGGCGGCGGCCATCTTGTATATAAAATTTTGTCATAGTATACGGTCAAGCCCTTTTGTTTGATATCCGTATTGATGGAGTCGTGACAAAATATGTAGATAATCCAACCTTTTTGGTGGCGACCATCGTTGATTTGAAATTTGTCATAGTTTTTAGTATTCTACTACTCAAGCCCTTTTATTTGAAATCCGTATTAAGGGGGTCGTGACAAAAAATGTAGATAATCCAACATTTTGTGGCGGCGGCCATCTTGTATATAAAATTTTGTCATAGTAAACGTTAATAGAGCAGTATAGTGCGACTTCCAACTTTGGTCACGAAGTTCGATTTATATGGAATTTATATAGCTTGTTGAATTATTTCTAATACACATTTATATATATATATATATATATATATATATATATATATATATATATATATATATGTGTATATGTTATATGTTATTTTCAGCATGCGTCGAAAGACCGGAGAAGGTATATTTGTATAAGAAAGTTAAAATATATATTTATATTAAGAAATGCAAATTAAGCAAGGTACTTCTTCTCTCAATACACTTATACTAGTACATAAAAATTGGAGTGCATATTTGTAATATTAAAATAACCGCTTTTCACTAAATACATTTGTGTGTATATCTGTCATACATTTGTGTGTACATATACAAAAATAATATTTTTTATCTATCTGTCTGTTAGTTCTGGCTAATCTCTGAAACGGCTTGGCCGATTTTGAAGGGTCTCTTGTAATTGGCTCACAAACTTGATTAAAAATATTCCAGGCTTATATCGAATTATTTCCGTTTTTCTCGTATTTGTATCAGGCTAGTCGGGGTATATCTGTGTGGTAAACCGGATGTATATATATATATATATATATAATAGATATTGTTAATTAAATATTAGAAGCACATAATTAGACAAATAGCATTGTTAACTCAGAAAATTTGCTACAAAATTAAAACACAATCAAGACAAGTTTTCGGTTTTGTAGAGTTATTTTTGATATTATCTATATTTGTGTTATCTGTTATTCATTGGAATAGTGCAATTTCCATATCTGTTCACGTTATGAAAAAACTTACATTATTTGCTTTTAAAAAGAAGCTAAGTTTTTTTTAAATAGTTTGTTGTCTTCAAGGTTTTGTTGTCAAGGCATCTGTTCACTAGACTAATTATTTTCCACTTTGCTTATGTCTTCTCAGAGTCAGTTTTATTTTATCATATTATTATTAAGTCAGTTTCATTTTTTATTATTTGTAATTTTTACACTGTTTTTCCCCTTATTACAGTTGATGAAGAATTTGGTAATGCCTCTGAGTTACAACAACAGCCCAAATAGAGTACAAAGAATCGCCAAACCCGGTGAGCAACCTACCGTTGAATTCACTATGAGCCTAGGGAAACCAGCAAGTCCATCTCTTTATGAAGGAGTGCTTCATAAGTAAAATAATAGTAGTTATTGCATTTAGAATATATAATGTAATGTAGTTAGAAATATTGAAAATAATAAAAACAATGGATAATCAATAGTGATGTGATCATTTATGAAAATTTTTGTAGAGATGCAAATTTCTTGGCCAGGAATGGGTTTAATTCCATATCGGGAATATTGCGTTCCACTTCAAGTTTCTGTAATGATAATATATATTGTGTGTTAGGTAGGCATTGATTGTTTTGAATTTACATTTTTACGGTCGTTGGAACCCTTTGTCCGCCAGGGGTTCTACCACATAAGGCTTTCATGTACCTCCGCTTCTTTCCTATATGAATACGCAAACAAATAGTAGAGAGTAAAGACGCGTTCGCTTGATTTCAAAAAAATTTAAAGGATAAAAAGCAGTTACAATGAAATTGTGATAAAAAATATATCAAAACCTGCACCACCTATAGCATATATTTTATACAGTTAAGATGAAATATACTAGACGTAAAATCGATACAAAAAACCTGCCTAGAGTCATCTTTGCGATATTTTTTCTTTTGAGCGAATTATTGAAATTTTCATAAAATGATTTTCATTTTGCAAATATCAGCACAGCCTTAGAATAAAATTAGTTTAAAAAGCGGTAATTTCGTGCAATTTCGTCTTGACTCATAGTATATCTGATAATATTAACCTCCGAATGTATGTCACAAGGCTGACTTTCTTTAGTAACTATTTTAATACTGTTGAACCACAATGTATAGCAGCATTATGTATTTATGACCAAGTATCAAGACAAAGACGAAGAATGTAAAGAGCAAAAAACAGCTTGCCGAGGTTCTTGCTGATTCTTCTCAAACTTTGGATTTTTACCAAAACGGCTTAATGCTTTATCGATTTATGGAAAGGTTTATCCGCGAAATACATGTTGAAGAGTTTTCGATTGATTGCTATAAGTAGGTACAAACCTTCCAAAAGTCACGCATCTCTTGAACTTCTTCTTCCCTCTGCACAAAGTATTGCCTTACCGTTTTCTGTATTAATGTGGCTGCGTATTCTTCCGGCCATAACCAGGACTTTGGGTAATATGGTCTGGGACTTGAAAGTAATAAGTATAATAGTAAGATTTTTTCGGAAGGAGATATTATTACTTGCGTCTATATGGACACACCAAGGCCACCACGGTTTCAACGTGCTGATGCCGCCATCTCTGGTTCCTTATTCCAACTTCCGGCAGGGTATAGATTTGAGTAATGTAAACTTGACTATTTTGGGAAAAGTATTTAAAAACTATCATGTGATCATATTTAACCACTATTATATTTTTATTCATAAATTAGTAAAGCTCACGAAATCAATCAGTCAGGTGACATTTTGAGCCGTGACGCCACATTTCAATACACATGAGTACAGGTTGTGACGTTTAATAAATTATAATCATGAATTATTCTATTGAAATGAGGAAGTATTTAAAAAAACTCAAGCACCTCCACTAGATGGCGACTCTAGCAAAAGTTGATTTTTGCAAGAAACGAATGGACCAAAGACAGTCATTTCCTTTCCTTTGAACTAACATATTATAAAACTGAAATTTGAAAAGTTAGATACTTAGGTATCAATACAAATACGAAAAAGTGCAAATAGAATATGAGTTGTTTATTGAGTTTTGAAAACTAATTAACTTTTAAACATGAAAGAAAACAGGAAGTGTTATCATGGAGAAATCAAGAACATACCGTAACGACATCTAGTTTGATTTTGGAAAACATTAGTTTTTTTTATATACTTTTAAACATGAAAGAAAACCGGAAGTGTTATCATGGAGAAATCAAGAACATACCGTAACGACATCTAGTTCGATTTTGGAAACCATTAGTTTTTTTTATATACTTCCTCATTGGAATAGAAAATTCTTTTATTATAAGGATTTTAGCAAACACACACGTGGAAACGAAGACGTTGACGTTTAGTGTATTAAAATGTGACCTCGATACCCTTACGGCCACTGATGCTCTATCAATCGATGACTATTAATACAGTTACACCAACAGCATATATAATACAATTTTGACTTCGGCGAGGAGAGGCGTAAACTCAATAGTTACCGTTTCTATTAAATCTCAGTCTAACAATCGAGAGAATTAATTACTGACTTGAGAATGTGCATTCAAAAAGACGAGAATTTGAATGAAATAATCTAGTAAAAATTCTATTTTTATTATTAACAGTTCTTATTTCATTCAAATTCCTGTTTTTTTGTCAAAAATATTTGCTCAATTAATTAGTTCTACTCAAGTAATTATTTTTACTTTATTTTAGATACAGGTGTAAGAATTTAGGTAGTGTACTAACTTTTCTTTCAGGTATCGTCGAACCCAAGGCATGTTAAATACATGCAAATTTCTATCTTGCCGCTCAGGATATCGAGGATTGTTGTTCCATAATACCTGTAGATTTAGAAAAGGTTTAACCTTATGAGACGGATGAGTCGAAAGTAACTATTCACATCAAATTCTCTAATGCCTTAATGCCGAATTAGGTATTAAAAAGGAATTGGCTGTCGGCATCGGCAACCTTATGAGACGGATGAGTCGAAAGCTACAATTTACAAAATTTCACAGTTTTTGATGAGCCACTTAAATATTAGGTATATTTAAGATTTTTATTTAAAATAAATGACTGAAATTGATTTAAAATAATTTAAATCGAGGAGCTCGTTGGCGCAGTGGATAACGCTTTCGGTCTTCCGGCCATAGGATGGGTGCCCAATAATTATTATCTCGAGCTCCGTGCTTCGGAAGGCATGTTAAGCCATTGGTGCCGGTTGCCTCTGCAGTCGTTAATACGCGCCAACCCGTACTGGACCCGTGATAGGTCATGGCCTATTCTCTATTCGATTCGATCAATAGGAAAGGCACGTGGTTAGCAGTTACTGCAGGAAGCTTGTTTGCTTGTATAGGCTATTAGACTCCAAAACTAGACCGATTTTAAAGATTCTTTCACCTACGGGAAGTTTCATTATAGGTATGTACGTAACATAGGCTGTAACTTACGTGGGAGAAGTCGCGGGAAAAAAAGATTTTTTAAACTCACTTGAACAATATGGTCTATGCCATTAAAAAAACATTTTTGCCTTTGTAAGGCTTCCCAAGTTTTTGCTTTATTGAGAGCTTCCTCTAAAGCAGGTATTAAATGTACAAATACTTCGTTTTCTATGTAATCGCATTCGGTTTCTGAAACATAAGTAATATCACGGAGGTCGTTAAAAATTTAATAATTGAGAGAAATGACAGCTATTTCCTCATCTAATAACTTTTCAACAACGTCAATTAATAACTTTTCTTAAATAATTTTACTATCTATATCTTTCATGTTGTATCTTAATGTTTTAGTATTTACCTAATAACCTTTTTTAAACCTTTTCTAACTAATAGTCCCAACAGAGTAGCTGAATTGGATTTTTTTTTTGCTTCAAATGCCGCTCTACTACTTTAATACTGAATGAATGAATTATTACTTACTTACTTAAATGCAGCGATGGATTCTACAAATTAAATGGTGCTGTTACGGAATGCAGCGGCGCGGTTCGTCTAACTAAACCTTTGATTAAAACAAAAAGGGAAGATACGGCATGCTCAAGCACCTATTTCAGTACCCAATTTATAGGGCACGATTTAACGGCATCCAGTTAGGGTGGTTGGCGTCGTTGTGATTACAATGCACTAGATCACCTACCTAACCCAGTTGTGTGTGGTTGAATTGACCAAAAAAGGCATTGATATAATTTACTTAAGTAAACTCACTATACACTTACACAGTATTCCCCGAGCAAGCAAGATACAATTACGAGTTCCAACTATAGCGTGAGCGAACTTTTTGGTAATGCTTGAATACACTGGTTGTAACGTAACAGTATCATAAGTGACCTTCAGTAAAGGTAATTTCTTTAAAAAAAGGAATGACTTGATTGTTACATTGCATTGAATAGGCTCCGAAGCAACTACTGGAGAAGAACGAATTTAAAAATTCTTTTATCTACTGGGAAACTTCATCATACACGGATGACAGGCTATATTTTATATGGGCGAAACTGCGGGAAAATAGCTAGTAATAATCAAAAGCGGAACGATTTGATTGTTTGTTTGCATTGAATAAGCTCTAAAACTAATGTACCGATTTGAAAAGTTGTTGTACTATTTGAAACCGACATTATCTTTAAGGGACACAGGTGATAGCATATTTAAAAAAATGATAAATAAATAATCCCGTCCGCCATATTTTGGCTAGTTGACCTATTCATTAATAATACTAATATCAACTATTAGTATTATTAATGACATGTATAATAGAAGTGGGACTCATTATAATATTAAGATCTTTTAGCTAACACACTTGATATTATTGTTTGATTATATTTGCATTCATGAATGCTATACTGAAAAATCATCATCATTATATCAACCGAGAGACGCCCACTGCTGGGCATAGGCCTCCCCCATTGATCTTCAACGTGATCGGTCCTGCGCCTCCCGCATCCAGCCGTTGAAAAATATACTTAATGGAAAATGCTTAAAAAATCCACTTATGTTAAAGTGGTTTTTTGTGCATTTTTCATTAATAACACTTGATATTGTCAGCTTGAAAATGTGTATGCGTTCCTACCAAAAACCATGGTAAAGGTTTAAGGTGATGATGAAATAAATTTTTTTTTGTAGCGGTGGGCTGTCATCTGTTTTTGAAGGTAGGTAGTAAGCCAGCAAAAGTACACAGCATGCACGCATCTAAAATATAATAGGTAACTACTGCGTGCGTATTTAATTAACATGAACGTCGTTAGATGGCGTTCGTAATATGAAAAATTTCATAATAAACGTTCATAATAAGTAAGATTCTAATAAAATTGTATACATATAATTGAACTTGATAACTATGAGTATGATTGAAATAGTTACTAAGGAATGGCGATTTTGGCACCGGCTCCTTCTTGCTTTCATTAAATTCTTCAATTTCTTGAATATGTTGATTGGCCTCTTCTAAAATAGCTTTCCAATCGACAATTTTTTTCTTTCTTATTAGTATAGGGAATTCTACTTCAGAACATGGCAAACTATCAGGTAAAGTAAACGCTCCTAATGGTTCAGCAATTTCACTGCCACCCGCTTTAGGGTCTTTGTTTTTGCCCCTACGTTCTGTAGTTTTACCAGCCATATTTTAGTTTCATTTAAGCGCAAGAAGTAGTTTAAAAAATAGTTACTCGGTCAAAAACACTCTTTGTTGAAAAATATTCTCTCGAATATTATAGATCATAGATTAAAAGTTCAATATATTTAGTACAAAACACTTTACTCTTTGATAAATAAGTATAAAAAAGTTTTCATGTTAATATCATAGGTAAACATTTACAAAAAAATACCCATATCAAAGAAAAAATATAGTAAAATTCACCTTTGAAAAAGTTTGAAAACATAAATTTTCTTTGGTGATTATTACTATAAAACTGTTATTAGAAATTAGAGATTTTTAATATTAAGGCGAAAGTTTAAAGGTTTGGATGTTAAATTTTTATATTTTCTTCCCTTTGTTGGTAAAATAAACCGTAAAGTCTTCGCAAAATATTCATGTTCGAAAATGTTATGAAGATAAATAGGAGACTATGAAAAAATGATATGACAAAACAGATTCTATCGTAACTCATACTATATGTAACATTACAATTATTTATAACACAATGAGCTCATTTTTATAATCAACATAACTTCATAACTCCAATGGAAATTCTAACGATCTTTTAGATTGATCAGAATTTATAAACGATCCTTATTAAATTGTTTTAAAAATACTTTCAAAGGAGCCTTAAAATGTAGCGTTAACAATTTGAAACGTTTCAATTAAATAGAAGAAATAAATAATAGATAGAAAAAGGAAATAAATACACAAATTATAATTTCAAAAGTTTAATTTACATAGAAAATCTGCATAAGCAATTACTCGTATTCTCTGGATATTACCATCCAAAGTATAATAAATTAAAGATAATAAATATACCTATTTAGTGCCTAAAATAATTACATATTACGTCAGTCAATTCGTGACATACGTTTAACATTTCAAGCAAAGATGGTCTTTATTTAATAGGGGGAAAATTTCCCAGTTATTTGCGATATCCAATCTAGGTAGTGAGCAACTTTGACATATACTCCAGGAACTCCTGGTTGTCCACAACCAATTCCCCAGGAGACAACTCCTACCAGTTGCCATGTTCCACCACGCTCGCACACCAAGGGTCCACCACCGTCACCCTTGCAGGCGTCTTTTCCTTCTTCTCCACCAGCGCAAAGGAAACCTTGATTCAATTCATAATTATATCCTAACCTAGTTTTTCTCAATTGCTGTTGGCAAACACTGTGTGAATGAATCGGCACATCAACTTCCTTGAGTACGTTCTGGTACTTTCCGTAGTCTCCGAAAGCGTCTTTACCCCATCCTGTGGTCCAGCATCTTTGACCAGAGTAATCAGTGTATTTATCTGGCAAGCAAGCGGGACTAATGTGAGGGTATCTGGTCCAGTCTACAGGATGATCCATTTTCAAAATAGCAAGATCATTGTCTAAAGTACCGGCGTAATACAGAGGATGTACTTGAACTGAGATTACGTCTCTTTCGACGTACGGGTAGAATTCTACGTCACGATTAACATCCCACTCTCCTAGACGCACCCTCAATTCGACTCCTTTGTATCTGAAATAATAGATTAGCTGTTTGTTAGACATTGTATGTTAAGCTATACCTATATCTTTTATGATATTCGTTGAGTTTTTGTATACTATCTAGTATTTGCGGTAGGTGATAAAACGCTATGGAACGTATGATTTTAGTATCGTTACATTTGAAATATTAATTTTTACAAATGTAAATGTGATACAAAATCTGAACATAGTTAATAAAATATGCCCTATAACATATAATTGAGACATACCAATACGCGTATCATTTTGTTCGTAGGCATTAGTTATTGAATAATTTCTGTAACCGTTATTTCAAGTTAAAATAGAATAAAGTGAAAGATATTAAACTCACGATTTAATGCAATGAGCTGCCGTCATTATGTGAAGAGAGTCGATCAAAGTTCCACCACAGACGTACACAGATTCTTTAGGGTCTTTTTTCAATATGGCTACCTGCCAAGGATATTCTCCGAATTCACTTTCTCCATCAACGTATGACGGAGTCTTGATTCTACCGTTAATTCCTTGCGAATGTCTTATACCGCATTGACCACGATTTCCAGCTTGAGGTTTTAATGGTCTACGGCAGCACACCTGGTTCTGTCTGCATTGTTGAATAGAAGGTTGACCAAAATATCCTTGACGCTGGAAAAAATCAAAAGAAATAATGAATTATACATTTATGGAAAATATTTCTAGATATCTGCGAGTTTTATCAGATTACCTCTTCAATACTTTCAGTATTATTTTTTATTGTGATTTCCCTCTTCTTTCTGTTCTCAGGAAATCGAATGGATTGACCTCCTCGGTTGCCCCTTATACTAGGATTTTTAGAAGGAAGGGTAAGGGATCGGGAGTAGGCATGTCGGTCGGCATATGTTATTTGTCTGTCATTAATACCACTGTTATTAATAGATCTTTCATAACCAGGATTATAGAAACCACCCTGATATGGGTCATTAAATGGTGGTGCGTCATCATATTGGTTAGAATTTTCATCGTCATCATAGTAGTCCTCATTGTATGGCGTTGGTTCGTTAACTTTGTATGGTTGTAAACCATAACCTGGATTATAATGAGTAAATTGAGGAGAATAAACAGGTGGCCCATGACTGTGTTGAGGAGGATACGGCAGTGGCGGAGGATGACCATGAGGATAATGCACTGGGCCTGGTCTTGGATAATGTTGACCACCATAAGGGTTATAATGATGATAATGTTCATGTTTATTTAAGAGATATAATTTTTTTTCATGGAATATATGAGACAATTTATTAACTACGTGTTCGTTTGGTGTCACATGTAAATTAACAAAGGGTTTCACAATTTTTTCCCCGTAATCATTTTTTGTGACTTGAACTGCTAAAAGTGGATTCACAGAAAGTAATCCTAAGTTCAGTCCTCCACTGTTTAGTGCTGGACCGTATGGATTGTGTAAAGGATTAGAATTGAAAGGATTTATGGGATATCCGTTAGAAGGCTGGGGCAACCCAAAAGAGACACCAAACGTGGGCTGCACTTGTTTGTTGTTATTGACGCCATTGCCGCCGTAGCCGGCCAGTCCAATGAGGCGCTGCAGTGATATTGCTTTTATCAATTAATAGTATAAATTTTATTGTTAGGCAAATGTCAGTCCCAAGTGTTTAGTGTTTCTTTTGAAAGCTGTTACTCTCAGACCTTTTAAACATAATTGTATTTGATTCCCACAAACATTCACTCTTAATGGAATATATTATGTCAAACATATTCATCCTCCTATTTTTCACCATATAATTAGTGAAAACGTACAACATAAAAAAGTTAGTATGTTAGGTGTACTTACTGGTTCAGCTTCCTTTGCAGATTCACCTGCACTGCTGTCTTTTGTTTCACGTTTACTAATTTTTTTGATTTCCGTTGAATTTTGTGGGGTGGTTGATTCAGTTGTATCAGATTTAGTAATGTTATCTATCTGTTCATCAGTTAGTGCTGATATTTCACTTCCCTTATTGCGGGGATCGATGGGTAAGTACAAATCGTCTCTGCGGCCTATGATTTCCTGATTTGGACATTGGTCATAATTTACACATACACAGTCAAAACCTTGTTCTTTTGCTTCATGATAAGCACTATTTGATCCAAATGTAGCGGGACCTTGACTGTATAAATTGTTACTAGAGCCTACATGTAATTCTTTTTTATAAAATTCGGTATTTTGTGCTTGAGCACCATAAGCGCCTAGTGAGTTTCCATACTTTTGTTGATCTTCAAAAAGATTATTTTGGTATCTGTTTGGTAATGATTGGGTGAGAACGCCAGACCCTTCTTTGTTAAATGCGTTATTTCCATACTGAGAACCATAAATTGTATCGGTTTCGTAAACAGGTTTGTTACTTAAATAATCACCAGTCATTGGTTTGAAACCACCAGAGGAAAAGCCACTGAAATCACCTCCACCTGCTGTTATGACGTCAGTAGATTGTTGCCCAAAAGTTTGTGATCCAAAATGTCCCGATGAAGAAGAAGATTGCGTTGGGGACTGTAAGTGTCCAATTGAACCAACAGGAATAGCCACTGGTTTAATAATCACTTTGGGATCTTTATCGGCATCACTGTGGACGAAGTGGTGATGAACGTGTTGTTGAACGACTTCTGTTTTTGTTCCAGACTGCGTAGAAGAAGGTACCTTGTTGTAACCCTGTTTATTGTTTTCGAAGACGTAAGGGCTTTCATTGGCATATGTTGGTGGTCTCGTTACGTAGTTTGTCTCGTGACCATTATACAAGTTACTGCTCTGTGAGAAATGAAAATTGCCACCAGCAACGCCATATTTGTCAGAGAAGCCGGGTCGTGAATTGCCTACGTAACCAACGCGTTTCGGAGGAATTTTTTGTGGTCTTGTGCGATGAGGCATTGGCATGGCTGGTCCATAAGCTTTCGGTGGTCCACGTATCGGGATTGATGCTATAGGTTTTCCGACTGGTTTAATATCGACAGGTTGTGCGTAGATCAGTTCATCGGGTGAATAATACATACGTTTTTCTTGGTTATCTTCTTCGTCGCACTGAAAACAATAAACACAAAAATTAATTAAATTGTGACTGTTTGCTGTTATATTATCATATTAAAAATGATGCATGCATATGCATTATGCAAGCATTATTTGTAATTAAAATTATGTAAATCTATCATGAAAAATCAAATTTAATCGAATATATTTTTATAATAGAGGCTTTTAACATATGAACACTTACTTGAATAAGACCCAAGGTACAGAGGCGACTTTTTATTACATTTCTAGATTCAGCGTCATCACCAGCGTCCAAGGCATCCTTGATCGTAGGATCACTGTAAACATCATCAAAGCCACCCAAGCTTCTGCCTTGTTTGTTACTGATCAATTCATCGACTATATCATCGAGTACTGTGCTGTTTGATTCATCATTCTTTGCTTCAGCCACAGGAAGTTCTTCACCTTGTAGCAGGACAGTTTTGTTTTCCTCTGGTTGTTCGTCAGCTTTTGTATCCTTCCCCCATGACCATTCTGCCGTCACGCTTGTTGTTATTAATGGTAATAATATAAAACTAATAGTAAACCACCGCATGATCTGTAAAAACAAAATAATTTTATAAGTTAAAATCCGATGTGATTTAATCCTTGCTAAAGCGAGTCACTGTTTCGAAACTTTAGTAGGCGAAGAATCACTTTTACTTTCGCGGACAGTCCGGTTATGTAAGACGTCATAATGTCAGCGCACTGTAGAGGCTCGCTGCGCCAGCGCAGGCTGGTGTGGGCTCACGAAAGCACTCTCACGTGTTGTATAAGTTGACGGTATTGTGTTCAGTGGTCTGATTTGTAAACGAACTCTACTTTCGAGAATTTAATAATGACATCAGAGATCTCGACCCTTTATATTAAACCTTACATTTTTGAAAATTTAAATGACATGAGATGTCGATATCAGTTAACGCAGCTAATTATTGTATGAAAGAATGGTGTCACCCATTGTTTTTGTTATGAAAGAAAGTGTTTATTGGTGTCAATGTCACCGAAAACCGGCACGGGTGATCGTTCACAGGCGGGTCATGTTTCGATGCGTCATTTCAGTGTAACCGTTACGTTATGCAACTCGGAAATGTTCTATCTTGTTTATTTATGCAACCAGTTACGGCATTATATTTCTCATTACATATTCGCTTGTATTTAAGGTAAATAACGTATAGAAAACGAGATATCATACAAATAGTATTCGAAAACAATAATAGAAGAAAGTATGGGATAGCAGTATATGTACGTGGTAGCGTGAGAGTTTTGTATTTGAATTGGAGTGAAGTTTATTATCTTTTATTATTTTGTACTAATGAGTTTTTTGTCAACCGACGTTGCAGAGTATCTCGCATGCCGGTTTCAAGAGGAGCTATCTCAGAGTTAAGAGTTCGGTATTCGGTTAGTTTCCAAAATACAAACATTAAAAACTATTTCATTTAGGTTCTAAGCAATGATGTTGTTTAATAATTGGCTATCTAATTATATGTTTTTTATTTTTATAATCTCTCTGAAACGCTGAACAAAATTCTTAGTTTATTCATTTTTATTAACCGAATTCTATTTTTGAAATTATCATTCCGCCAGCGTTCCAGTATTATATGTATAAGTCTTCATCGCGAAAAATCTGTATATTGATGAAAACCGCATTAAATTTCGTTGTGTAGTTTAAAAGACTTCAACGAACAGACAGCGGGAAGCAACTTTTGTTTTATACTGTGTATGTATAGATTAATTTATGTTAAGTTAAATATTGAATTATATATTTTGTATATTTGTCTAGTAAACATTGTTGAATGAATAGAACATTTTGTAATTACCTATTTAGCAATCGAGTGAAATGTGAAAGTTTCACAAACTATTAAAGAAAGAGAGAGAGGATTAAACTATTAACTTGAGCGGGGGAAACTGTGAGATCATACAATTACTACATTTGTTTATATGTATAAGAATAACGTATGTCCGTGTACGCGTTTTACATATTTTTGGACTCAATTTATTATAGAATTATAATCTATTAAAGATATAAAAATGCAATATAATATAAATATTTAAAAATATATTTAAATATAGCTAGTTATATAGTGTATAACAATTAGCAAAATAATAGTGTGAATTGTGACATAAAAATTGCAAATAAAAATGTAACGTACTGTAGACATGTCAAGTAAATCAATTGATTAATTTTCATATGAAACAATTCAGCTTGTAATTTTAGATAAACATACAATTATTGCAATTTCCACGAGTAAATGTAGTTTAATATAAAGTATTATTATTTTAAAATTAAAATTTTACATGTAAATTTTGATTTTTATCGTTATTAATCACTTTTGTAACACATTTAAGCTACTTACTTCAGTTATGTATATCCCTTATATAACACTTTTATTTATTTTTAAGATATCACCACACCGTCTCACTGTTTAGGTACGAATGACTGACAAAACTACCACAACACCGCTTTATACTTAGTCCGAGTCAAAGATGCACGCCGTGCGGTTTTGTAAGACAGCCCGCGTAACCTTTTACCAATAAACACCATTCAACGATCATCTCGACGTAAAATAATCGGTGTTTCTCCTCGACGAGCGATAGTAATTCGTTTTAACTGTTTAGTGGTACAGGCAATGACGTCAGAACGCAGCTCATTGATCAACCCTTGGAGTTTTTCATTCACAATGTGTTCTGAGTAGATGTTAGGCAATTGGTAATATCGAGGTCGTCTTTGCGGATCTTATATGTTTATATACGTAAATGTGATCACGGTCTGTTGTGGCTGTTCCCATGGGATAAAATATATTAAATAATAAAATATTTATAGGAAAATTAACTCCATGTATCATAGGCTATGTACCGGTAATATAGAATTTTCACTTGGAAAAAAATTAAATAATCAGTCGAGTAGTGTTTACTTTTTGCAAAAATACTTATTAATTTAATTATTATTTTATTAAATACACATATTTAATGCTTACTATAATAGTGTACACTAAGAGACACGATTCGGCTAGACACAAGTAAAATAATCTATTCAATAGTGAAACCTCGTGAAAATCCGATTTTCAATTTAGGAGCATAAGGAGACATAGCGGATGATAGAGGCGTAATCATTAATATTTACAAATAATAAATAAATACAAAAATGTCATCATAATGAAAGCTTTACAAAGGAGATTTTGTTTATTTTGCTCAACATATTTTTTTTCTAATAGTCTATATTCATATTATAAAGAGGTAATATGTAATTGGTTCCAAAACTATTGGACCTATTATAAAATTCTGTAGGAAGCTATATAATACGCGGGGGGCTATAATTTACGGAGGCAAAGTCGCGGGAAACAGCTAGTTTGATAGAAATTGGTTCACAATCCAAGAAGAAATCGATGAACATAGCTCCTTATATAAGAAATTAACATACCCATTGAACACAGAAAATCCTCTTTTCGGATTTTGAATGAATGTAAAATACGTTTTAAAAACTTAATATGAAATAGTTTTGAATATATTTAATAACAACTAGCTAAAGCACTCGTAATATAGAGTATATCAAACAACATAGGTCATCACCTAAAGTCGAGATAATATTGAAATGTTAAAAGTCTATTTTCTGGAGTAATCCGACCTATAATATAGGTATACCGTTAATACCTATATGTAGACTTTAACATACATATCTAAATTAATTAATAATCTGCTTAGGTTAGATTTAAATGTACTCAGTTGACGCTGACATTTTTAACGATATATTCAACAATCCTTTTCGTCGTTACAAGCTGTTAATAAATTAACGAACTATATTGGAGCTCGATGTTATGCAACTTTCGCAAGAGCTCTCTTTGGAAGGATTGGAAATATTTACTATCTTGAATTCTCTGCATTTGTAGATACGTTTAGCTTGTCTACAGCGTCTGATGTGGTTAATATCCGCCAAAGTCAAAAAAAAGTCAAAATAATCTTTATTCAAATAGACTTCTTAAAAGTACTTTTGAATCGTCCAACATTTTTTTCCCTACCACTCGTTCAGGACGTCTTTTGGCCGATAAGAAGAACGAGCAAGAAACTCACCAGCTCTAATAAGAGTAATGACATTTACAAAAACCATGTCGTTACCAGATCTATACATTATAAACAGAGATAGAGAAAAAATAAATAAATATGGTCTTATAATGATAACATAATCATTTAATAATAATGGAAACAAGATAATGAGTTTAGAAGTAATCACCTATCCAGTTGCTGGATCATCTCAAGTCCAAGCGTTCTTATCTGTTATATAATCGGATACCAAATCGCTCTGTCGTCGTATGTTGCTTTATAGTCCTTTATTTGATATCCTTATTATCCCATCCCTGTATTGGAAAGATTATGATGATGATTAAAACAAAACCCTCGTCATGAATAATTTCGTTTGTTACTTTCGGTAGTTTTTAAATTTTGTCGCCGTTATTTCAAACTAACAGATACGGCAGTGGTCTTTATCTATTAAAAGATTTGTCAGTTGAAATGGAAATGGAATAACTTAAATAATGTGATTGTTTTAATATTCCTATAGGTTTGCTGTAAGAGTTGATTCTAATTCTAAAATGCAACAACATTTTGCTTTTAACATAAATACTTAGTTTTGAAAGATTTAGACATGGGTACAGTTATGGGTCAATATCATTATATACGTAACTACAAACCTGTAAGGAAGCTATTAACATATAAATTTATCTGTTGATATATCCATAAATCCTTTTTAGCCTGGTACGACCCAGAGAAAGTGCTATATCAGCCTAATAGGGGAGCAACCACGAGCTCAGAAACATTGTTAGGTAATCTTATTGTGGCGCAACCGAAACTGAATTATAACTGACTTATTACAGATACGAAAATTTGCATCCTTACATATATAGAAATTGACTAAGTGTGAATCGGATTCGCACAACAAGGGATCCGTACAACTTCGTTGGTTACTAATAGTTGTGGAATAGAATAAAATATGT